TAGAATAAGGGTTTGTACATAGTAGGTACTCAAAAAGTATTTGTTGAATAAATGAATAGAAGGAGCCATAATGAAATGCAAAGGCTGGGCATCTGATCTTTGGCTCACTGACTTGCTAACTCCAGCCCTGCTATCACAAAGCAATTCACCTTATACTTCAGCAACATGACAACTTGCTAAATATCAAGGGTCATTGGGATGTGATGCAAAAAATATGACTCACAAAATGTTAAGTCTCCAATACTAAGGATCCTACATTATATGATTGAAAGTAGATATAATGGTGATGTGGGCAAGGGATCCAAGACCCAGAAATACCAGTGAGTTGAAGAAATCAGAAGGATAAAGGAAAGAAGCTTTGCAAAGATCTTTGCCCTCCAGGAAAGACTGCTAATGTCATTGTACAAGGAGAGAATGTCATTTAGGATAATTGTCTCAGAAAGACATGTGGAGGAGTGGTCCAACCAGAGCCCTCTGTACTGCCTTCTGCCTTGAGAGCTCCCCATGTACTCACCTGATTTAACAAGTCTCTCTTTATCTCCAAGGATGAGACCCATGCATCTCTCTAAGAGAGTTCTCCCCATTGATCTCTACCCTGGGGGATTGTAGAAAATTTCTGTCAGTACGTTGATCCCATTACTGCTTACTAAATGGCTATTTCCTAGGGCAGGGAAATAATCCAAGTCTGCTCCTTCCCATCATTCAGGCATAAAACCCTTATATATATAACATATTATGTCAAGTGCGGCTCTCCAGCCCAGCATTCTGTTCCTGAAACCAGGAACAAGGGATATTTGGGGAGCAACTCTAGTACTTGTTCCATGTGACAGGGATGCCACATTACTCTCCCCACACAAAGTTTCATGGAGAGTCTGTGTCCTGCTCTCCCTTTCTGTCTGGATCACGTCCACATCATCTTTATTGGCTGTTCCACCTACTGGTCTCCATTGTTCCAGAACTGGTGCTGGAAACCACAGAGAAATTGATAGCTGATTCATGGACTCTGCCCTCAAGGAATTCATCATGAAGCAGGAGAGACAGAAAATAAATCAGTGAGCATTCAACACTTTGGTAAGTGCTTAATTAAAGTTAGCTATTAAGTTCTACATGAATACAAATGAATAATGAGCATCAGGAAGACCTGACATTTTCTCTGGACCTTAAACATCAGTGGTAGGTCACTATGTAGAGAGAAAGGCAGAAGGGAGTCCAAGAAAGAATATCTGTGGAAGCATGGATGGATATAGATTCACTCCATGAATGAACGGCATGCCTCGGTGTAAAGGAACAGAGGGCAAGTAATGGCTAAAAACAGGAGCAGAAGGCCAAATGTGGTTGTGAAGGCTCTTCTTGTGCAGGTTGAAGGGTCTGGATTTATTTTATTGCAAATGAGACTTAGAAGAGGTTTTTCGAGCAGGAGTAAGATGGATTGACGGCATTATAGGCCCAATTAGATGAATGTGTAAGAGAGGGAGCTATGCCAATAATGCCTCCAAATTGTAGCTTGCACAATTTAGTGTGGAGCATATCGATAGAAAAGCAAGAGAAGAGATGGAATGGGTATTTCTGCTGATGAATGCATAAATCAGTAAGAGCAAAGATATGGGAACACCAAGAGATGAAAAAAACCCAAAGAAGGGCCACAGAAGAGAAATCTAACTGGGAGAAGAGTAGGAGAGATCAGGGCCATCCATGGAAGCTCAAGAAAATGTGCATTAATAGTCACATGGTCCATAAATGTTGAATAGGTAGAGGCTTGAAGACGGAGGACATAGAAGCCTTTGGCAACCATAGGAAGTTCAATTTCAGAAGAGAGGTAGAAAGAGAAAGTTGGATGGTTGTACAATGAGATTCCAAGTGGAGGTGAGGACATAGAACAGTGGTTCTCAGCCATGACTGCTTCCTAGAATCTCTTGGGAAACTTTCGAAGATGCCAATACTTAGGTCCCAAACTCACAGACTCTGGCTTAATTGTCCTGGAACAAGGAATAATACTGGGAATCTTTTAGAGAGAGAGAGAGAGAGAGAGAATTTTAATATTTATTTTTTAGTTTTCGGCGGACACAACATCTTTGTTTGTATGTGGTGTTGAGGATCGAACCCGGACCTCACGCATGCCAGGCGAGTGCGCTACCGCTTGAGCCACATCCCCAGCCCAATCCTGGGAATTTTTTAAAGCTCCATCATATGAATCCACTAAATCCAGATAGCAAAAGTCAAGGACCACTAGGCAAGAACAGATACCAACTACATGGGCAATGATAAACAGAAGGACATACAGGGAAGATCTTGAAAGGGGAGCAAAGTAGAAAGAAATAGTAAATCCTTATCTTAGAGATATTACCAATTTGCTTCTAGATCACGGTAGTAGTCTGACAACAAAACCAGTCACATGACATTGGTTTCCCAGTAGCTATGTTCATAATATGCCACAGTCTAGTTTGTGAAAAATAGTGTTATATCTTCAAAAGCAATGTGCATACCTTGATTACAAATGCATTCTTGCTAAAAAATGTTAATAATTTTCTTAGCTGGTGGAAAAAATTGTCCCATGAGGGGTGACCACAGACTTTCGATTTGTATATGGCATAAATATGTGGAGTGCCATAAAGAAAAGCACAATATATGTAACAAGGTGTGCCTAAAAGAAATGAGAGCATAATTGTACATATGAGAAATATCTGGAGAAAGGGGAAGACGGTAGAGATGCAAGAGAATCAACTGAATTTTTCCTGGAGAAGAAAACAGGAAAGAGAGTCAGTAGATCTCAGGCATCAAGAGAGGCTAACTCTGGTGATGAGTAATAAGCTCTCCAGATAGAATCATGAAGGAAGTACAGACAGGTAAAAATGTAGACAGATTTAGAAGTAATTAGAAGAGGCACAGTTGGAAAAAAAAATTACATCTGACGGTCTCTCTTTTCTCCTGAGCTGGGCATGAGCTGGGAATGAAGAGGGTTGAGTGGGGCAAGTGTAGGTCAGGCCGAGAGAGAGTGAAAGGCAACCAGAGATAATTAAAAGATGACTGAGTGGCACTGTTGGTCCAGCTGAGGCTGGGAAGCTTATAAATTGCTAATGGAACCAATTCAGCGTGGTTATGCGATTTTTCTCCAGCATGGTCCAGCAGCTTCAGGGCAGAGGGTGGTGAAGACAAGCACCCGGGACTGACACAGCATTGAGATGGAAGGGAGACAGGGAGATGAGAAGGATAAGGGCAGGCATGAGAAGCCCTTGGAGGGATAGGTGATTAAATCTAGCCTAAGAAAGAGGAAGGGCAAGGCCAAAATCAGATGCCAATTACATTACAGAACACATTCAAGTATAACCTTTGGATTAAGCTGGGTTGTCCAGTGGAACAGAATCCATAGAGCATACGGAGGCATGATTTATTATAAAAAAAAATTAGCTCTCACAGTTAAGGAGGGTGAGAAATCCCACAAGATGCTGTCTTTAAGCTAAGGACAGAGGAAAACCACTGGTATACAATCCAGTTCAAGTGCCAGGAGTGCTGGTGGCATGAGTCCTAGTTTAAGAGCAGTCGAAGATGGATGTTCCGGCTCAAGGAGTCAGACAGAAAGCAAGCCAGAGAATTCAACCTCCTACTTTCTGTTCCTCTTGGGCCCACCCCAGGTTGGATGCTGCCTAATCACATTGCAAAGGGCAATTTGCTTAACTCAGTTCAATTCAAATGTCAATCTTTTGCAGAAACATCCTCACAGACACACCCAGAAATCATGTTTAAATTGATATTTTGGGCATCCCTGGTCCTGTCAAGTTGACACATAAAGTTAACCACCACAGTCCACCATCAAGGTCTTACTGTGCTTTGATGTGTGGGTACCAAGCATTACGCCAAAACTCTTCTGGGTCTGATCTCATGTAATCCTCCCTCACTTTACAGAGGAGTAAGTATGGTTTGGAGAAGTGAAATGATGATGGACGTCTCTGACTCCATGAAGATCCAGGAATGTCTAGTTGCACAGGGTTGCAGAGCCACATTTCTAAGTATATGGTTTTGTAGGTTGACTTATCCCAAATGATGACTAAGGTAGAAGAGGCGGCAGAAGAAGTGGACCAGTAAAGTGAATGAAAATTGAGTCACTGAAACCAAGGAAATCCGAGCAATCTTGCTGGTCAAGGGGATGGTTCCTCAACAAAGATGCTGAATTAGGCTATAGGGCCAGTAGGCAGGGGACCTCCGCACAAAGGAAATTTGACTTCCTTGAAGGGATCACATGAAGAAGAACCAGCCGGGAGTCAACTGGAAAAGAAATGTTTAACGGCCGTGGAGACTCTGAAACTAGGCAAGAGGTGGCATCTCATAACCTAATCGTTTCACCTCTGACCACTCTTTCATTGTCTCACACATGAACTTTCGAGGGACACCTCATATCTAAACCACAGCACTACTAGAGCTGAGTCATGTCTGCAGAGAGCTCCCACGTGACAGACCTTATATCCTCAGCCTCCAGTCCCTCCAGAAGTCAAGCTGATCCAGCGTCCTCAAGGATCCCAGGAAAACAAAAGCAGATGTGTCGGGGTCCCCAACACTGATTTATGGCATTCACCATAAATCACATTATTAGCATAAATTATCTGGCATGGTCTAAAGTCCCAGATATTTCGAAGTTTCCCCCCATCAAGATTGTTGTGATGTGAATTGCTAAATATAATCAATAAGAGTGTAAGTTATAGGTTATAGATTAGTTAAAATATATATATATATATATATATATATATATATATATATATATAAGATTTTGATAAGTGAGATAAGACAATTATAAAGCAAGAACTGTCATAAACAGGCCTAAGACTGTATTTTGCTACCTTCTATTAAAAAAAAACAACTGTTATAATAACTGTCTCTGAGAAACTGAAATGAAAGCTGTTTTCTTATAATATATTGCTTTCTGTACTTTGTACCCCACAAAATGTACTCAATTCATGATATGGTGGTCTTGGTGACCCAAGAGTTTGAAGTAGATTCTCGCCCCCACCAACCACCTACTCAAACTCAGGATATGGTTGTCTAACACCTGCTCAAACCCAAGATGCGATTGTCTTAAGTTGCTGTGCTAATTGCTGTCTTAGCTTCTGTGATTGGCTTGCTTGCATGTGCTAAGGAAAGTCCCTGATCTGTGGTTTTTGTCCTTAAATTCCAAGACACAGACCAGGAAGTTGCTGTTCTCAAGAGCTTCAGCCTCTATGGATGGGTGACCGTCCTTGGCCATAAAATAAATAAAACTCTCTTTGATTTGAATTTGGACTTAGAGTGTTTTCTGAAGCGGCTCCCTATAACAAAGAGTAAGTCATTTCTTTGCGATTTTCAGGGTCTGAGCACTGAGATCGTCTTTTGGTCTAGAGTTCAGAACTTCCCAGTTCCAAACAGCAGGCTGATGAGAGAGCCATCAGGAAGCTGCTGGTAAGCTTTGGTCTGTTTGTAGTGAGTTTTCTGGACAGAACTGACATCTCCATCCTTTTGTACTAGGAGGGGATAGTAAGCAAGAGTGATCGCATTCTCCTAGGCACACAGGCTTAATTAGACTTGAACTAAAGATGGAGAGACGAAGACAGAGAGCGAGATGATGGAGGGTATATATTTTTTCAAGGGAACATTTCTGTCACTTGTATTTTGTCACTGATATGCCTTTTGAGTAGGGAAGAAAGTAAATGGTTCTTTTTACCTAGTATTTTAGACACAGACAACACTCAATTTGTCCTCTCCAAGCTACAGCCCACTCTAAGATTTGTCAGTGCTTCCTGTTTTATGATCCACAATGGGTAAACTCTCTTGTGAAGGTATACTCGATCACAGAGCTAAACCAGGAGAGTTTTTCCCAATTATTCCTTTACTCCTCCTTCCCATGGATCAATGGTGAGGTCATTCTATTCCAATGCTCCTTGGGGAAGGTTGTGACATATGTAAAAGAGAGAGAAATCCATGCTCAGCTTTCCGGTTTCAAAATCAACATTGGAGCCCATAACAGAGGCAAAATTTTGGGAGACTATAGTTCCAAAGTAGAACCCAGAGAGACCCCAAGTAGAGTTTATTTCAAAAAAGTGGGCAAAAAGAATTCCATGATCTGTTGGAGCCAGTTTTCACTACTACTCATATTAGATTAAAATCCCTAAAACGGGAGATGAAAGGGGAAACTATGAGCAGTCCTGAGAGGGTCCTCTGTGTTCTGATACCCTGAGGTTTGGGCCCAGAGGGATAAGAGAGCATAAATCCAAAAGTAGAAGGAACCAGAGCTTGCCAGCTGAGCAGGGTTTAGGAAAGTGAACAAGGTCTTGGAGTTCTCCACCTCCACCCCATCTGGAGCCACAAAAATAGAGAAATTGGCTTCAAGGGTCCAGATAAAAGGGCCTGGCCTCTCATTCCCTACGGGCAAGGTAAGGAGCCAAATGTTTCCCATTTAATCTTCAGGACCGATGAGGCTTGATATACCCTGGTCACCTCGTGGAGGTTCAGAGTAACTTTTATCACAACCACTAGGAAAAAGATGAAGCCTTAGACATCCCCAAGGAGAGCAGGAAGAATGGGCAGTGACCGATGGAACCAATGGCAGTAAGGCCCCCAGTGGTAGATACAGAAGAGAGGACATGATGGCCAAGAACCAGCTGCCACTCCCGATGGCTTGTCAGTGCCCAAGTCGCCTGGAAATTGGGGGCAATCATAAAATAAAAAGAAAAGGGAGACACTGACTTGGTTGTATTTGCCCTGAAATGCTACTATCTGTTCAGTGGCATCGTGCTGAAGAGAGAAACCAAATTCTATGGTGGAAATATTATAGAATTGTCCTTTATTTTGCAAACTTGAGTCTGAGGTCTGCGAATTGGGCAAAACTTGCCGTATTTTAAATTCCTGAAAGTTTGGGGGTCTGTGGTAGCTGCAGAAGCAGCAGAATTATGTCATACTGCTCATATAAATATGAGCAGTATTTTTTCCGAATTGAAACTTGAGAGACATCATTTTGACTCTGGAACAGAGATGCAAGAGGCACTGCCCCAATAATGTGTGCCCAGCTAGGACATCTTCTTTCCATATCAACAGGCATCAAGTATGATTACCACAACACATTTCAAAAGGGAGGATGAATGAACAGCTTCGAGATGGAAGAGGTTGTCTTGGAGACATAGACTAGACCTCAAAATGTTGGGGTGTCTGGGACAATTCATGGATGAAATCCAGATTCCTTGATATGAGTGACCAGCCCCTAGAGATTTCCTTCTTAACAGCACTCAAGTCCTGATGAGCTTTGGCAAGCCTCTCACCATGCATGCCCTGTTCTCTTGCCCTGAGCCTTTGCACAAGATTTTTGGTTTGGGGGTTTTTTTTTGTTTTTTTTTGGTTTTTGTCTGTTTGCCTGTTTTGGTTTTGATTTCGTGCTGGGGCTCCAACCCAGGGCCTCCTGCATGCTAGACAAGCACTGGACCACAGAGCTATGCACCCGGTCTTTCACAGATTATTACCTCTGGCCAAATTATGGAAGGTAATCCTGCCTGTCCCCATCCTTGTCAACCTTGCTACTCTTCTTTTAATCTTTCAATGGGAACTTAACCATCTTGTCTTATTCAGTTTGGGCTGTTTTACCAAAATGGCAGACACTGGGTAGCTTATGAACAATGGACACTTATTTCTCAAAGTTTTGGAGACAGAAATCTGATGTCAAGGCATCCATGGATTCAATGTCTGCAAGAGCCCCTTTTCTGGCTCATGGACATGCCATCTGTTTCTGTCCTCACATAGTAGGGATAAGGGTCACCTTTACTCCTACTACATGGTCTCTTTCGTAAGGGCACTGATCCTGTTCATGAGGACTCCACCCTTACAACCTAATCCTCTTCTAAAGGCCCCACCTCTTAAGGCATTGAGGATTAAGACTTCAACATATGGATTGGAGGAGAGCACAAACCTACAGACCATAGCACTCTTCCAGAAAAGAGTCCCCAATTTCCCCCAGATAGTTTCATTGCCCTTTCCATGAACTCCCATGGCATCTGAAGTCCTCACTGGTTTTAGCAGCACTTACCACACTGTGTTCAATTGTCTGATTACTTCCACATCTCCTCCCCTGGACCAGCAGCTACATGAAGACCACAGGCACATCGTCTTGACCATTGTTGTAACCCCAGAGCCTACTGCAGTGCCTAGTAAGCAGAAGGTGCTCCATAAATGCCTGTCACCTCAATAGGTTTAATGACTCATGGGGAAGGAGAAACTTTGATGTGGACTATTTTAGAAAAATCAGTGCTGTTCAACTCACCTCCCTAAGGGAAGTGTCCCCAAGCAAATAGACATCAGTCAGAGAATTGTAGCCAAAGAATTTTTCTTCCCTTGTTCCCCAGGGGAAATTACTGCTTTGAGCGGCAATGTTATAGCCTGACACTTGGAGAGAGAGAGAGAGAGAGAAATCCCCTCGAGCTCTCAAATCAACAAATGAGCAGACCACTCTCTCTTGAGGGTCTGGTGGTACCAATTCCAGAGGGCAGAACCTCAGTTCCCCATGCTCAAGACTATTATCAGAGTCTGGGCTCTGGAGATTGACTGTGTGGACCACCTCTGAGAATTCCCTGGGTGTTCAGGGGTTCTTATCTTGAGAATTCCCTGAATAGAAAGATTCACTGGGTACCTTCTCAAAGGGAGGGTTTGTGCCAGGCATTTCCACATAAGGATCTGATTGAATCTTCAGAACAAAAAAAAAAATTTGAGAGATAAAACATTACTCCTCAGATTTATAGAGGTGAACACCAAGGCTCAGAGAGGTTAAATAACTCGTTGGTGGTCACAGCTAGTCAGAAGCTGAGTTGTTCTCGAGAAAAAATATCTTCTGTCATGTAACTGTTCAGTTTTTTACAATTGCTATGGCAAAAATAATGTAATATTTCACTACCTGTTTCCAAAAGCTCTGGGTGATATCTCTCTCTCTCTCTCTCTCTCTCTCTCTCTCTCACACACACACACACACACACACACACACACACACACACAGAGTCCATCAGGTGATAATTGGTGTTGCTACAGAACAAAAGAAAAAAAAAAGAAAGGGAACTGTAAAATTCTCCACTCTCCTGGGAAAGAATCAGGCATTTTCTACTTTGATAATCATGGTATTCTCAAGCAGAAGATAAGGATTTAAGCAATTGTTTTCCATGCTTCCGATTTAAGTTTAAAATTTCCAAGAAGAGCAGAATGTATCAGTTAGGTCCTTCCTTTTTTTTCCCCTCCCAGAGATTATGTAAGTTGTTTACTCTCACAAATAACCAGAAAGAGCTTGGGTGCTATTCAGTGACCTGCATATCAATATGCCATGTAGTGATTAATTGTTCACATTATATTCTGCACACACCCTCAAATCTTCCTCTATCTCAATTAGATGGGTCAACTTACAAATTTCAATGCCCATAAGTAGCAGATCCATCATAAAAGATAGGGTCCCAATGAGTGGACTCAATGTCTGTAGTGTCTCAGAGCATGCACCCTGTTTAGAACTGGTGCCATTATTGAATTCTAGTCAATGGCAGCCATGCAACATCTCAGAGTCTATGTGGCTGAATCTTCTGTGTTAAAAAAAAATCAACTAAAACTGGGAATTTGCATTAAATTTCCCAATTTGGAAAAAACTGTGTGAGTTAAACAGCCTATACCTGTGGGTAATTTTCTATCCAGTCTGATTGTCATATCACTGTCTGCAACAGATTTTAGGACCCAGGTCTTCAGTGAGATCATCAGGCAGCTGAACAGTATAGCCCATTAGTCCATGACCTAAGAGCCAAGAGCCCTGAGCAGGCAATGACGGGCAGCCACAGGGACCCCACAACTGTTGAAGTCTTGAACATCCAGCCAAAGAAGTAAAGAACTATCCTCCCTGTAAGAAAACAACAAGACTCCTAAGTCTGTATGGTCTCAATTTTAACATTTTTGGTAGTTGCTGTAGACAGAGCATCTTCTCAGACTCAAGCAAACACAGCTTTTGAGAACATGTTATAACACCTTTTATCTCAGCTATGGGTAAGGTGAGCTGCAAACACAACTATTTACAATCGCAGGTACAGAGGTACACCTAGATGCTTGATACAATTCAGAGGGAATCTGACCAAGAGATTAACTACATTTCCAAAAGGAGTGTGGTGTTAGAAGAGGCCAGGTCAACAGAAAAACTCATCTCCCAAGTCATCTTTTGGTTATTTGGTGAGAATACAGTAGGGACGTTCCTGTGTCAAGTTGGAGGTATACCAGTGAACCACACGAATTATGTCCTTCAACAGAAAGGAAGAGGCAGCCCCTGAGATCTACATTGTCCTGGGAAGATCACCCTTCACCCAGAATTGTCTTTCTGGCAGCAGGAATCCCTAAACTCCTTCATTACCTGCTTCTCATGCCTTACACCTCTGAACATTCCCTACTCGCAACTCCCCAAGTACCCCCATTGAGTCCTCTATAATTTGTGGTCCACTACCTATAAGACTCCCGTATCTTCAATTGCATTATGAAATATTTCCTTTCCCTTTCTGTCCTAACACAGTAAGAAGCCCATTGAGAACAAAATCTTAATTTAAAAATAATAGCAAAATATAACATAAAATAAATAGCAAATACTTCTAAGCCCACTAATATGCTAGGCCTGTTCCAAACACCACAACACCTGTATGAATTTCCTTAATCTTCATTAAAAATTGCTTAATTGAGCACATTACCATATCATTTCCTTATTTTCTTTGGGTGCTAAGGATTAAACCCAGGACCTTGGGCACACTCTACTACTGAGGTACCCCCTGGCCCTTACCTTCCCATTTTTCTGATTAAAGAAAATGAAATATAGAAAAGTTGATTAATGAGCCCAAAGTTACAGAGTTAAAAAGTAGTGGATCAGGAACACAGGACTTGAATCCAGGTTGGACTCCAAATCCCATGTGTGTAGCCACTGTGATAGATTGTGGTGCAGAAGAATCCATGGTGACTGAGGAGACCACTTGAAGAAGTAGAAACATCACAGCAACAGGGAGGAAGTCTTAGAGGGGTCCATGTGTTCCTAGGACCAGTCCCTAAGAAAATCCCCAAACTCCCCTAAAGACATAGCTTCCCCTACCATCGTTTCAAGAGGTAGCTCTTCTCTTCATTCCCATACCCCTCATTCACCGCCCTTCAGATGAGGGATGGCTCCTGCTTGCCCATTCTGAGTCTTTCTCACCACTGGCTCCCAACACTTTGGGCTTCCACCATCATGCTGCCTGACCCAACAACCTACCATCTCTCTTGTTATAGTCATCCACAGAGCCCCCTCCAAGATTATCCCCTCATCACTACAGAATTCTAGCACCTGAATGAATCATTGCCACCCTCTCCAGTTACTGCCTCCGTTACAACTCACAGTACTTCTGCTTTCCTAGAGAAATCCCTGCTAAGCCCAGCATCTCAATTCCATGATCTCTTCTCTTCCGTGATGTTTCTTCCTCTACCCTAACTCAGCCACTCTACCCCAAAGCCATATCCTAGACCTTTTTATGCAAGTAATTACACCCCCTCCATTATCTCAATTCTAAGCGTTCTATTTTCAAACGACCTCATCTTCAGTTTTCCAATTCTAAAAACCATTGACACCTCCATAAGCTAATTCCATGATTGCACCACCTTTTATCAGACCCTCAACTCTGCCTAGCCTCGTTCTTTTTCTTTTGTGTTTACCTTCAGGTGTGGATTATCATCACCACTCCCCATCATATACTCCAATTCCTTTCCTCGTCTCTTCCCAAGATTCATCTGGAGGGGGAAAAAGAAAAACCCTTATTAAATCTCGCCATTCCAAATGTTCATCCAAACAACTGAATTTGGTAGGAGAAAAAAGAAAACACACAAGAATATTCACTGGCTTTTCTTCAAATGCATTATGACCTACCACAAGTGGGCCCAGATACTATCTGCCAATTCTATTACATTTTCCAAATCCTGCATTCTTCCAATTTTATGGTCTAATTCAAAAGGGCAGGGGGGTCCAATCAAAGGACTAAATTATCATTGTATAACTTCTTGTCTTTCCCTCTCTTTGCTCTCAGCTAAGAAAATAGAAACCCCCAGAAGAAAATTCCACAGTGTCTCACCAACCCATCTACCAACCTCAGAGCATGTGTTCCCTATGCTCTTCCTTCTCACCCAATCCACAGATGAACTGAAAGTCTCCTCTCTTCAGCCGGTCATCTTCTTGAACTCTGGGTTCACATTCATTTTTTCAATACCAAGGTCATTGACCAATCAGTCTCTCCCATTCCTGCATCATCAAAGTTTCCCTCTCTTATCCACCTTTCCCGTCAAATACAGAGTCCCAGTCTATTTCAACCCCAGCCCCACTCCATTTCTCTGCTTTAATCCTTGCAAAAGTAGAATTATCTCAAAAGTGGAATGATCTCCATTTTCTTGTCTCCCTTCTTCTGTTTTACCCAGTCCTTCCATCCTATGTCACCTACTACCTCACTAAAATATCTCATAAATGGCACCTTATATAGGACACACTTTATGAGACCCAACACATGGAGTTTCATCTTGTTGGATGGAAGATGGATGACAAGATGGATGGAGAGATGCAAGGATGGATGGTGGAATGGATCGATGGCCAACCAGGAATACGTCAGAAGATCAGCTGGTTCCCTGGATTCCTTTCCATGCCCTATGGAACCAGAAGAAAAACTCAGGAAGGATCTATTTCAGCCTGATGATCAAATTCCCTGTTCTAAGACCTTGGAGTGAGTGAATACTAGGAAAAAGAAATTTCCACAAACACCCTTGCCAACCAGCATCATGCAGGCTTTTCTTGAACCATGTGTTTTACTTTGAGTTTCCCATTATGGACTCATTTTAAAAAGTAGCTCATTATGCCATAAATCATTATCCCTGCCTTGATGAATAAGTGTTCAGGGGGCTCTTTCTCTGCTAGAGAGGTTGGTATGCCTGTTAGATCCTCTCATTTAATCCTGCCTCTTCACATCTCCTAAAACAGGAATGTATTATCTCTCTTTACAAATTAGCACTCACAAAAGACAAGTAACTTACCTAAGGTCGCAGCTAAAAATTGGTAGAAGCAAGATTCACACCCAAAGCTGACCAACCCTTGCTCATTCCAGACCACCACATTATTTGCCCAATAATTTCCATCTCTATGCTCAGTGCTGTGTCTGATGTATCAGATGTATTATCTCAGTGATTTAATTTTCCTATCAGCTCTTAGCCATTTTCCCAGATGAGAAAACCCCTAGTCTCTGAGAGGTTAAGTTACCTACTCAAAGTCACATGCAAGCAAATGGCACGGGTACACTTAATCCAGGGCTGCCTGCAATGTCAAACTTATTCGTTTTATAGAAGAACCTGGGGAACAAATAGAGGTCAAAAAAGATAAAGTGAAAAGTTCAAGGTCAACGTTACTTACCAGTGAGAAAAGTGGGACTTGAATAAAAGTTGCCAACCTCTCAACAGCACTGCCCCCATTATTTAAGAAGTGTGCACTGTGGCTAGCCCCCGCCTTTCCACATTGAGTGGAAAGCAATTAACCGACGGACTTCCTTTTTTGATACTGTTAGGGGATGGGCCAAGTTCTTGGTGAGCAACCAACCCTTGGCCTGTGTTTCCCCAGGACTCAGACCAAGTTAAGCAGAAATGAAGCCATGCAAGGGTGGACAGGGGATTCTGCTCTGTTTCTGGGTCACCCTCCTCCTGAACAAGATTGTCAAAAGGAAGCAGCCTAAAGCCAGTGGCCGTTCAGCGCTTAACCGAGAGGTTGCACGTTTCCCTGGAGGCTGGAGTAAAATACCTGCTGGAAGTACACCACATTTATCATGTGCTCTGTGCCCCAGCATGTGCTGTTTACTTTCTCACTGGAGGTGCAATTATTTAACGAGGTGCTGAAGCCTGGGGAAGATTGCACATTTTAATCAAAGCACCAAATGAGCGAGTCTAGATGACTTTACAGAATGTATTTGAGGTGAATTTTGCACAGCAATGTCTGAGTATCAGATAATTAAGTGAAAAGGGAGATAACTTCCCAAGGGGTGTAAACAAACACACCAAGTCAATCTCACCTCAGTGTTATGCTGAGTGAAGAAAATGGATTTCTGAGTGGACTGTGGCCTGCAACCCAGAGTGGCTTCCTCCAACGTCAAGCCAGGCTACATACGGAGCCAAGAACTGTGGGGCCGCTGTGTCATCTACAAAGCAACCGTTGGAGAAAGCTTTGCCAAATTTCCTTCCATTCGTAGAGGGAGGGAAAGCCTATGGCCTTGAAGGGCAAAGTGACTTTTCTCAAGGTCATGGGGCAGCTCAGAGGGAGATCTAAGATCTACTTGGTCAATGCTCCCCAGATGTTAGCTATGCATGGTAACACAAACAATCACAATGACAACTAAAATGAGGAGAACTGACCATCATGAGTAAAAACGCGAGGTGCCATGTTTTGTGCTTGATTAATTCATAGGATACTCTCCCAAGGATCCCATGAAGGCAATCCTGCTGTTATCCTTGGCTTAAAGGTAAGAAAACAGAGACAGACAGAATGTAAGAAACCAGCCAAACAGCTCCCCAAGTCGAGAATGTCACCAAGCAGGTATCAGGTGGGACCCCCTGATGTCCCCAAGTTCCACAACCCTGAGCATTCAAAGCCTTCATTGGTTTCCTGAAATCTGGGGTGCTTCAGCCTGGAAATCTTTGCCCTCAGCCTCTTGCTACTAAATCTGCTGCATCTGTTTAGACCACATTGATCTTCGTGAGTAGCTCGGTGTTTCTCTCATTTTTCATAAAGGCATTTAAAAAACAAGTGATAAAGCAGAATGCAGCTGCATCTACTCCTTGGTAAACTCTGGGGTCACAAGGCAGGGTCCCACAGAATGCCTCCCAGCCATCCACTGAAAATCACCTATTAGCTTCTTCCAAGGTTGGGAGGTTTCTGACTGGTTTTCTCATAGGAGTGTCTTGCTTTCTTTCTCCAATATGGATCTCAGGTGGGTTAACACCCCAGGTCTCATGTCCTCCTTCCTTCCAACCTCTTCTGACTCCTTTCTCTCGTTCCTTCCTTGTGAGGAGAAAACAGCTCACCTCCTTGGACACCCATGCCTTCAGGGTCTCACCTTCTGCCCTGAACATCTTATCAAGATATTTTCCTGGACAGAGGTAATTTCCTTTTCAGAGACGGATTCTGAAACTAGCTGCTAAGAAAATTCATTATTCACTTTGTGACACCAATAACTACGGGGTCTCCACTTGCATTTTTTTTAAGCCAGACTATCTGTTTGTTTGTGCAGCGTCTGGTCTCTACAGGATAACCCACGCTGGCAATCACTGAAGTTGAGATTTTTATTGTGTCTCCTCTAAAGCTTGTCCTTTCTTGACTTTCACCTTTCAGATTTTTTAATGATGCAAACTTTATTCTGCCTGAGATGGCAGGATGTCCAGTTTCTTCCTGTCTCCAACCCCTGAGCATCAACTCTCAGAAAGCTCCTACAGTAAAAATTCCTTGAGAGTAAAGGCCTCATTTGGCTGAATTATATCCATCCTCTGAGTCTATTACAGGGCCTGCATGCAGAAGGCATTCATTCATTCATTCATTCATACACATTTATCAAGCATCTGCTATGTTCAAAGAACTGTTTTCTAGTTTGTGAAGATGCACAACTAGAGATAGAGTCCCTGGACTCAAGGATAAGTCTATATTGAAAGTTCTCAAACTTTTGTGGATATGGCACAAAAATTTCCCCAGTGAGAAACTGACAAAAACTTTAGATCATCTTTTCAGAAAATGCACAGTATTTTAGTACAAAATACAAGGCAAACAATGGCCCTCTAGTTTTTTGTTTTTTTTTTTTGGTATCTGGACTTTGGCCAGAACTTCCCCCTGTGAGTGGGGTGACCTGCCCCACCACCTGACTTTGAACTCATCTGTGCAACTTGCTTTGGTCAATAGGATAATAATAAGAATGGCTCAAGCAGAACCTTGTGAGATGGACTTGCATGTTGGGGCTCGAGAATTTGCACTTCTTCCACCACCATGAGGAAGACCAACTTAGTCCTCTCTCTCAGAAGGAAGATGAGAACCACGAGGAACAAAGCTTAGTTGTTTCAGCATAGACTACTCTACATCAGCCATCAGCCAGCCAACCCAAGAGAGGTAACCACTCCCATTCAAGTTTAGCAGAACCCCTGGCTAAGCCCCAGCTGACTCCAGACCCATAAATAATATTCCCTCATAATGAAGGGCTACTGAGGTTTTGTGGTTGTTGTTATCCAATACATTATGGCAGTAGATAAATAGTACACAATTTTAAGGGCATGATGGATAATCTGAAGTTCTATATGTACCATCGTAAGAACGCTTGGTCTTCCCGAGTATGCTGAGAAGGAAACAGAAATGACAGCATCGTATATTAAGCACTGCAATGGAACAGATCTAGGTGTTTTGGAGCAACAACAAGGTCTTGCTTTGCAGAGGAGCTGATATCTGAGATATGAGGAACAGGGAGATATCCATCAACCTAAGAGGAAACAGTTCCAAAAGTGGATATTAACAAGTACCAAAGCCATCGCATGAAGACAGTTTGGCTAATTATTGCTTCGGTGAGACTGCAAACCTTTCAGTTAACCAGTACCAGGTAGTGTTTTTTCCTTTTTATTTTTTTAGAAACTTGAGAGAGAAGTCCTGGATATTTCCAATTTACAAAGATACTGATATAATAAAAAAAAATGAAGACTGGTAAGAGGCAGCACAAAAATAGTGGTATAATTTAAAGATTTTTCAAAGAATGAACAAACTTTTTACCATGGGGAGAATTAGAATAGTCCTATGTGCAGCTTCATTTGAATGCAACATTAAATGCCTAAGCATATCCTTTAGAAATGTGAGAACTGGGACTTAAGGCCTTTGTGTCTCCCCTCCACCCCAAGCTAGCCTAAAATAGAAGGTGTAAAGACAGAGGAGGTGTTGGTGAGAGTTGAGACTTAATAATGCCTTGTGGTACTAAATTAAAATAGAGTGGTTTTCAGATGTTGAAGAGGAAAACAATGCAACCTCACTTAGTGAGGGTCCTCTTGATGGGACACCTCACAGGCATACACTGAAAAGTCCTCAGGCACAGCTACAAGGCTTGGTGCATGGGCCCCCATCTTGGCTCCCTTGGTCACCCACCAAGAGGTCCCCACCCACCCAACCAGCCTTTTAGAATCCACCAAGATGCTCACCATCTCACAGCCAGGTACCAGAGGTGATGTGGTGTCGCATCGCCACCTAGTGGCCACTTCTGAGAAACTATATTCTCCTTCACCTCTGGGATTTATGAGCCCCCCCATCCCCACCCCACCTTGGCCAGGGGATGGTTCTTCTCCCTGACAATGGGCTGCTGGTGACAGACAGTCCCTGTGTCTGTCTCTATCTATTTGTCTTCTCCTAGACCCTGGCATGACATCCTCAGTGCACAGTAACTGTAATTATTAATAATCATTACCACCATGCTACTGTAGAAATAGCCGAGTCTGTTTGAAATTAATTGGGATGTGGGAAAATGAGATTTTTGAAGATAATTAAGAATCCATTTCTCCCTTTAATTTCATCCAATAAACAGGTACTAAATGTTTAATGCAGGCCGGCTCTGTGCCAGGTAACTGGGACAGGGTGAAGAAGATATAAAAATGGCTCAGATGCGGGCTCTGCTGTAAGACTTCTCCAGTCCTAAAGGAGAGGAAGACATGTGAACAGCCAGCTCCCTGGAGTGCTAAATTCAGACAGAGCCGGCATGCTGGCTAGGACAGTGCAGAAGTGACACCAATTCACGGAGACACCTGCGGTTTCCCTTAACTCAGAATGCAATCGAGATCCTTACCTTGATCCTACGTGGCAGAGACAGCTACCCCTCTAAAGGGCTTCTGGGCCTCTCAGCAGCAAGGAGGTGTCTCTTTGGGAAGCTCCTGGTCTTGAATGGATGAACAGGAAACTCCATGAGGTTACTGGAGTTAATGGAATCAAAAGTTCAAGCAGGATGACCTTGGGTGAGTTGTATAACCTGCTTTATTAGTCTCATCCATGACAGAGGAGGATGCCAGTAGTAGTGTCTACATCATCATGGGGTGGTGGTGAGGACTGAATGAGTTCATAGAATACACAGACTTAGTTTCTGTCCTGTGTTCACCTTCCGTATAGTTATTACCTACTGGGGCTCTGCAGAAACTCCCTGGACTCTTCACTAGACCTGGGTCTAATTTTGTAGACTTTTACACATTTTTCATGATTATTAAAGCTTGGTCCACATCTAAACATATAATTCAGCTTCCCCATTGACCCATTTAGAGCACTTAGAACTGGGGAAGGAGGACACCCTCCAAAGACAGGGGAAGATTCCACGCACATGGATCACATCGGACCCTGAGCACGTTTGGATGAACGAAAAGAAACTATGTCTGAGTCATTCTCGTGTTGATGGCATCTCTGGGGAGAGAATGCAAACAGGGGTGGGGAATTTGACTTCTGTGGATGCTGTTCAGCCTCACACCACCCACCCCCAACTCCTTCTTAAAAGATGTCTCTGAAGGCAGACTGTGTGTCCCTTTGCCCACTCTTCAAGTCCCATCTGGTCCTTTAGACTGTGGCATCGGTGAGGGCAGGAAGTATCATGGTCACCCTGTAGCATTCACTTTTAGGTATCGAACCTGGTGTTTGTGGGCCTTCAGCAAAAACTCAAAGTACTTGTAGCATTTCTCCATTCCCAGGAACAGGAAAGAGGTAGGTTTCTCATTGGTGATCACTGCCTGATGTTCATAGACAAGGAAAAGGGCCAAAAAAAAAAATGCACTGTCTATCTTCCAGGGAGAGGGACACACGCAAGCATGCTACCTGCAAGTCGCTGCTTAGAGCCCACAATGCTCCGAGAGGCTGCTTGACTATTCTTTTGACAAATATGCCTCCAAAAATAGATTGGGGAGAAATTCATCTCTTTGTATCTCAATGAGGTGAAAGGAAGTGGAACAGATTATTAAAATTAGACTTTTCCCATTTCAGAGTTTCAGTGGAGGCTGCAACACAGAGAACAATGGATGCCCCCTAGCCCCCCACGAGGTGCTGAACCCGAAGCCCTGGGTTGGCCAAGGGCATGGCCAAAAGCTACCTCTGCTTTCATCAGACCACTACTTACCTCCAGGCTATGCAGGAAAAAGCCAAGACTCACAGGGTGGGGGGGGGGCAAGACACAAGAAGGGATGAGGTGGTGGCAAGTCTGTGTGGGGTGCACCGTGCACATGGGTGACAAGGGTGGAAAGGTGCCTTGTAGCTGTCACCTTAATGCAGACCAAAAAAGAGGGTGGAGGGGGTGGGCTCCCTGAAGGCTGCCCAGGAGTCTGGCTCATAGTTAAAGAATCTGCAGGCTAGAGACTGAGGCTGAGCCTGCCTTGGGAGCAAATGACACTTCCAAAGCAAGGAGCCCAAGAACAGTGGTCCAGATGGAAGCCTGAGGAAGAGCCCAGCCACAAACCTTCTAGTGAAAGATCCTGTCTGAATATGTCTATGGTAGGAATTTCAAACAGGCTTAGTGAGGTGCCACTAACATACAGTAAGTGGCACCTATTGAAAGGTACAATTTGATAGCAATCCAACCACCTCCAACAATCAAAATAGTGTACATATCCATCATCCCCCCATGCCGCAGTCTGTCTGGCTGCAGCAAACTAGCCGGGGGGGTGACGAATAACTTGTGTACTTGATACAGCAGGAGTAGGAGCCGTTTATTGCAGGACAGGAGCAGTATTTATACATTCCACACAGCTTATCTAATTAGCATAAACTAGATACAGCAGTCAACCAATCAGGAATCTCCACACTTAATGGCTCGCTTTTGTTACTTCTCAAACCACTCCCTCTGGCATTTTGCCAGGCACCATCCAGACTTGTTTACGAATTCTAACATTCCCCTGGCAAAATGCCAGGTGTTATTTTGACTTGTTTACAGACTCTAACATTTCCCCCTTTTGTTTAATTTAAATAACAACCATAGTGGTTTTTATAGAAACACCATAAATAACCTGATACAAGCAGAAAGGGAGGATACAAAATGCCACAATACCAAGCCACTTGATGGCTCCATGCAAGAAGCCCTTGGAAAAATTATACCAGCAATGACACTGTTAGCAAAGATACCGAGTAACAATTTGTTGTACATTACAGTTTGTTGTCTCAGTCCAGGTAAAGCAATGTCTCAATAGATTAACTCACAGTCCAGGTAAGTTCTGCAGGCAGCTAGCTTAAATCACAGTCCAGGTAAGTTCTGCAGGCAGCTAGCTTAAATCACAGTCCAGGTAAGTTCTGCAGGCAGCTAGCTTGATCCGAAGTCTCGTCCGGTTCTCAGCTGAAATCTCAGTCCGGTTCTCAGCAACACTGGGAATTCTTCCACCTTGGTCTTTACCGGCACTGGGACGAAGGCAGGAACTCCGGATGGCTAAAGAAAATCCTGTAGCATTCAACTAAGAAAACAGCCTTCTGAACAATTTAGTACATTATCTCAAGGTTTTTTTACATTTGAAATAGGCCTTAATAGTGCTCATTACTCATTAGCTTCCAGGTGTGGGAGAACCATTGTAGTTTAGTTATTGGCATTGAAAATGACCAAACATCAGGGACACCAGTAGCGTCTTCTGCTGGCTGTAGTGCCTGGACAGCCCCAGATGGCCCTGGGGAGTGTCCCGGACTTAAACTGCTACTGGGCACAGGGAGCAAGAGCCTGCGAGACTGTGCCTCCAGGTCAGGTCTAGATTTGGGCTCGTGGCAGTGGAAGAGCCAGCTCCCCGGCCAGGAGGTGGGGAAGGGCCAGTCACTGCCGCCTCTTGGAAAATCCTTGCTGCGCTGTGACTGGCTTGCACACTCAGCAGCCGCCTCTCCGCTTCACGCACCCTCCGGTAACGAAAAGTATTCAGTAATAGCCTTTTGCTGCAACTTTTTTTCTGATAATCCTTCTTCTTTTGAACTTTCTTTTTCTTTCTGACTAGAGTTCCTGGGCTTTTATCAACACATGCCCTAACTATTCTTGGTTCCACTGGGGTGCCTTCTTCCCTTAGTAATTTACTTCTCACCCCTTCCATATTTTCGTCACAAAGACAATACAATACACTGAGACAAAACAAGACACAAACATACTGTATCAATCTTTTCCATTTTCTCGAAATGGCCATTTTTCCTCTCGCCCTATCTGCCTAGGGACGAGCAGATTGCTCCCGTCCTATCTATGGACGGGCAGCTTTTTTCGTCACTTACCCCCAAGTGTCCCGGGGCTCCCCGTAACGGGCCACCATCTGCCAGAGTACGGCTGGCTGCAGCAAAATAACCGGGGGGTGACGAACAATTTGTGTAGATTGATACAGCAGGAGTAGGAGCCGTTTATTGCAGGACAGGAGCAGTATTTATACATTCCACACAGCTTATCTAATTAGCATAAACTAGATACAGCAGTCAACCAATCAGGAATCTCCACACTTAATGGCTCGCTTTTGTTACTTCTCAAACCACTCCCTCTGGCA